GTAAGGCCCAAAAAAGCAAATCAACATCCTTTGAGGGCCTTTGCAGGTGGGACATTCTCGGTCTAGTGAGCCCTATCCTGCAAATACAAGTTACTCAATGTCTCTTATCGGGCTGGTCTGCCGCTCATTCTCAAAAGCCCAAAAGACAAATAATTGTTTGCAGCTTACTTTCCGAATGTTTTTCTCATCAGAAATATATTAATTGAAGGGCCATTTTCATAAATTTTTGTTTTGCCATTTTATTCAAGGGAAACTTTTACGTTAGCTTCAATCAAAGATTCATTTGCATTTCCCATGAAATATATTGGCTTTGAGCATAGAAAAAATATGAATAAATTGCATCTTCATATTGGCATTCTCATATGTGTTTTAAGAAATTTAAAAATCTCTTTTGCCATATTTTATACTCGTTGTGAATTTTGTATTTAAGTCTAACATTTCACCGGAAACATACATTCTGTATGAACATAGAAAAAAATATTAAAAATGTGAATTGAGAAAATTACAAATCAGTCCTGCGCTTTTTAATGCTCGTTGTCCGTCCGTCAGTTCTCCATTTTGGGTGCAACTTAAGAAATTGAGACTTTAAACTTAGTGGAAATAGATAATCGTGTATATGCATGGCAGATAAACTAAACTAAACTAAACTAAACTAAACTAGAGAGAAGACTTCAACTAAATCGAAAAGAAAACGATATTTCAATATGAATTCAGCGGGTAGCTGCTTTTAAAATATGGACGAAGGCATCATTTTTGCTTGTTAAAACAAGATTTTGTTAGATTCAATTGAGACTGATCAACAAGAAGAGGAGGAAATATGTGTATGTCCGACTGAGCAGCTTGTTGAACATTTAATTGTTGGTATTCTTTCATATATTTAACAAGTAAGAAGTTCTAGTCGGTAGCTCCCGACTAGGGGATACCCTGAACCCTCTTCTTCCAACATCAAATGCAAATATATATTCTATTTTAGAAGCTAAATGTCAAGTTTGGTGACTCTAGCTCTTATTATTTACCAAAATTGGCCAAAAAACAGGATATCGATATCGATTTATATCGATTGCTTGGAAACGGAGTAAGTTATCGATTATAGGAAAGATCTGCGCAGGCACTAGGAGCATCTACATCTAAAATTTCAAGTCTCTAGCTTTTTTAGGTTCTGAGATCCTTGCGTTCATACATACGGACGGACGGACAGACAGACAGACGGACATGGCTAGATCGACTCGGCTATTGATGCTGATCAAGAATATATACACTTTATGGGGTCGGAGATGCTTCCTTCTGCCTGTTACATACATTTGGATTTTGCACAAATACAATATACCCTTATGCCCATTTTTAATGGGTTCAAACGTAGACTCAAACGTATTTTCGGGCTGATAGGTATATGCAATTTATTAGTAAATATTTTAATAGAAATTGGAGAATAATGTGCCAATTCAGACGCGTGTTGCTAATGAGAAATCGCATGCATAGACTGAGAAATAATCATGTAGATAAATTAGCGAAATTTGGTACGTGGCCAATGGAATTAGCACATTTGAAGTTAGTTGCAGCTGTCCAAAAATGAGCAGAGCAGCCAGGTGGGAAGGTGCCAGAGTTTTCAGCGGTCTCTCGACTTCGATTTTCAGCTAAGTGTCTGCGTGTGTGTGCGTGTGTGTGTGTGTGTGTGTGTGTGTGTGTATTTGTAAGCATTTGCATTTGTATCAGATTATGAGCCACAAACATTTTCGGCCATGTTTGTTTACTTAGCTCCGCCTCGTCGGCTACACAACGTTCATCTCTGTGTGTGTATGTGTGTGCGTGTGTGTGAGTGTGTGGCTCTGCCTCGGCCTCGGTCTCGGCCTGTGGCTGTGTGCGTGTGCGTGAGCGAGCGGCTGCGGTGTCTGTGCCCGCATCTATCTCAGTTGGCGTGTGCGTCTGTGTACGTGTGTGTGTATGTGTGTGTGTATGTGTGTGTGTGTGTGCATCAGTGTGTACCTACCTACATAAGTATGTATCTCAGGCGCGTCAAAAGTCGCTCTTGCGCATGTCTTCTGCGCCGGCTGTTCGAGCGATTCGCATCGGACTCAAGCAAGCGGGCGGGCCAACTTCTTGGGCAACCCTCGAGAACGCCATTTTCGCAAATCGAACGGAATTTGCTGCGGCTAAAAATGGGCTAAGTGCAAACCAAAATTATTAATTATTTGCAGAGCCTAAAACGAGCAAAATCGAATTGAAATGAAGCCAAAAAATCTAACTGCGATATTTTGAAGTAAAGTATGCAATCATAAAATTGCCTCAGTTGGGCGTGCGCGACTAGCAGATATCCTGCACGAAGCGCCGAGCGGGTGTTCTAGCTTCCCTTAATACATACATATATATAGAAATTATGATCAAAAATATACATTTAATTTATGGTTCAGGTAAATGCAACCCCCTTTAGGTGACAAACATTGGCAGCATACCCTTTGTACACAATTTCAATTGGCTTAGGGTATAAGAAACAAGGCACAAACTGAAGCCTGTCAAAAGTAAAGGATACCCTATGATACCGATCATTACTATGGCAGCTACAAACATATATGTATCTATAAAGCAATAACCGATATACCGATATATATCAATATGTTACCAGCATACATAAGATATACTTTAAAAGTAGATACCATCTATATGGGGTTCCGATCCGGTCAAATACAAAGCTAACTCTCATAAGGATAGCTTTAGAAGTCCGAGTGGACTAGACTAGCTATTCTTAGCGTATACCCAACTTATATTTATAAATATAACAGGAATAATAATAATAAATATTGATAATAATAATAATAATAATAATAATAATAATAATAATAATAATAATAATAATAATAATAATAATAATAGTAATAATAATTATAGTAATAATAATAATAATAATAATAAATATTGATAATAATAATAATAATAATAATAATAATAATTGTAATAATATGAATAATAAAATCATTGCCAAAGTTAAATGCAAGTCTGTGAATTAGCTGTAATAGGTAGCCATTTAATATTTAGTTCTTCTGATTATATAATTCATCTGGCTAAGGCAGTTTAAAGGCTTTAAATGCAACGGCACGCGTGTCTATAAGGCTGGTAATGTGATTGTGCCATCCTCTCAATCGACTTACTTAGGAACAACCAGCTGCAACTTAAAGCAAAGAAAGGCCCCAGACTCCAACTACGCCTCCGACTCCGCCTCCGACTCCGCCTCCGACTCTGTCTCGGCCTCTGCCACCGTCTCGGTTTCCGTATCTGTCTCTGATACCCCGTAGCTCTTTCGGTGCGCTAGTTGGATGTGATAGGGGTATGGGGAGCCTGCGCCAGGATCCTAATTACATTTTACTAGATAAATTGTAAACTTTTTCTGTGCGCGTTGCAGCAACAGCAGCAGCAGCAGAGGAGCAGCGGCGGCAGCAGCGGGAGCAGCTTCTTCCAACTGTTATATTTTGTTTGAGTTCCCTGCGTCGGCGTCGCTGCCGACGTCATCGTTGGCGTCGTTTTCGTCTTCTGCGCTGCTGAGCAAACAAACGCACAGTCGGCCAGAGGCCCCCCCCCCCCCCCTCACTCCCTCGTGCGTCTGCTCATCCTGGCGGGGCACCCTGTATGCCATGCCGAGCTCCGTACGTGGAGCGTTTGTAAGCATATTTCCGGCAACGGATGCCTGCCACAGCAGCAGCGGCAGCAGCGGGAGCGGCAAATGTTGGCTCCGGCCAAACGAATTGCAGTCAAACCTGGCCCGGCCCTGGTCCTGGCCCGGATCCTCCCCAGCCAGATACGAGTAGAAAGTCAGTCAGTGCCGGTTACACATTCTCAAAAGTGCTTGGCGCTACAGCTCACTGCCATTAGTCGCCCGTCAAGAGTGGGTCGTGGGTCGTGCGAGTGGCGGGGGCTGGGTGGGCGGATTGGGCGGAGGCGGGGGGAGGATGGGGTGCTAGTGGGCGTCCTGCGCCTGGCCGGCAACTGTGCTGCTGCCGCTTCATGTTGCACTTCAACTTGGTGTGCGTGTGTGTATCAGTGTATCTGTGTGTGTGTGTGTAGTTTTGCGCAAATATTTGCATCTGGAATATTTGCGCGCTCCATCATAATTCAAACACAGATGCGCTGTTTGTAGAAGAGCAATCATTTTGACATGCAACTCGCTTCAAAACCGAATTAAGTGGCATTCAGTGTCGGCCAGGAGAAACAGTAGCTCGACCATGTGCGCGGAAGGGCCCCAGGCCTATCCAGCCAGAGCACACGGCCTGATTGACACTGATTGACGCGCACGCAATTAAAAAATATATATTCAACGATCCTTTACGGGGGAAACCCATACACTACGAATACAGCTCGTACTTGAACCTATTGGAAATGAATAACGATTTATTCCTGAGTCATCGATATCAGCATATATATATTATTAACAATCTCTTATCGCATCGGGATCAGCATATAAAATTAAAATTTGTATAAGTCAATTTATTTGGGACAGCCGCCCGATTGAAACTTGGCTAATAAGCTTTAAGCTGTACTTATTTAGCCAAGACTCGTATCAACTTTAGAAAGCTTTCTTGATATGGTTTGTGAACTTGTTGAATTAGTGCGGGCTCTGGTCTCTGCTAACAATTATAACCGTTTAGGGTTGTTGCCACGGCTGAGATACATATCCGAATGCTTGAGGTAGCGATGAGTTATCGGAGAACCGCCACAAAGCAGTATCGCTTTTTTCGAATTCGGACGCATTTCTGTCTGACACTCTTTGTGACCGTGGTTAGATCGAAGTGTCACAATAAATTTTTCATTAATTACGTTAAACAAATGTATATGTTGGATTATTATCAAATTCTCGTGATGCCGAATAATTTTATATAATTCATTTGAATTATATGAGCAACTCAGCTAACGGCGAAAACCAGGGCTAACTTAAATAATGGTTAAAGTCTGCCAACCTATAATTTGCAGTATTCCTGCTTTTATCGAGCTCGGGCACACTAAAACAGAACACCTCGCTTAGGGAAATAGTGCGATAAATTACACAATAACTACAATATTTTAAAAGAATCTAATGTATATAGGTCTAAAGTAAAACTCTAAGACCATTGAAGAGCGCAAAATGCTTAAAGTAAGTTGCATTTTTCGACTGGGCAGCGCGCTGCGGCAGCGGCAACTTCATACCGGCGTTACGAGACTCAAGCGCCGCAAGACAGCTGAGGAGAAGGTGAGACCAATCAAAATAAATGAAATGCAAGAGGTAACGCAGAGAGAATCGGCAGTATCGTTTGTTCTGACGTCACACTTATGTGAGATTAAGATTCCAAATGATAGAACTACTTTCCCAGTTACCCTTTAATTATTATGAACACGAATCCTTTTGCGTGGAACACACTGACTAATTGTGTAGAAATCGCCTCGAATTATAGAGTACTCGCCCAAGAAGCTGCAATCTTCCAATGCAACAGCCGCCCACGGCACGACAGACATTTGGCGATACATGAGCGTCGCACAGCTGGCCAAGACACTGCAACGACCTTTGGGTAAGTGGCATATTGGGAGTAGAAATAAACGATGCTAACACGATTCCACCTTACCTCGTAGACGATGTGCAGGAGGCCATGCTGTATGTGCCCGGCGCCGACAACATTGAGGCAGGCGCCAAGCTGGAGGATCTGAAGATAATTCAGAACATTGCCAAGAAGCTGGGCGTTAAAACGCGAGTAGTGTCAGCACCTGAGTCAAGTGTTGAGGACGAGCACGTGGAGCGTGATGTGTCGCCACGACCGCCAGCTCCGCCGGAACTGCTCAAGCACCGTCCGCCTGTGGTCACGGTGATGGGTCACGTGGATCATGGCAAGACCACGCTGCTGGATTCGCTGCGTGGTGCAGATGTGGCCGCTGGCGAGGCGGGCGGCATTACCCAGCATATTGGCGCCTTTACGGTTACACTCGAGAACGGCGAAAAGGTCACGTTCTTGGACACCCCTGGACATGCGGCATTCAGTGCAATGCGTGCACGTGGAGCTATTGCCACAGATATTATCGTGCTCGTTGTAGCCGCCGAAGATGGTGTTATGGCGCAAACCCGCGAGGTCATCCAGCTGGCCAAAGAGGCAGAGGTGCCCATAATTGTGGCGCTGAACAAGATTGATAAGCCCGAAGCAAATATCGTAAGGCTTTAATTGTTATATACAGCAAATATACACTAATAACTTCGGATTTCAGGAGAAAAGCAAAAGTGAGTTGGCCCAAATGGGCTTGGCGCTGGAAGAGCACGGCGGAGACGTCCAGGTTATACCCATTTCGGCGCTCAAAGGCACCAACTTAGAGCTCCTGGCCGAGGCAGTTAGCACGCAGGCTACGCTGATGGGCCTGAAAGCAGATCCCACGGGTCTTGTGGAAGGCATTGTGGTAGAGTCCAAGACTGATCCACGCCGCGGCAAGCTGTCAACGGCCATTGTCACCCGGGGCACATTGCGCAAGGGCTCGGTGCTGGTCAGTGGCCTGGCCCATGCCAAAGTTCGTGGTCTGTTCGACCACAATGGTACACCCATGATAGAGGCAGCGCCGGGAACGCCTGTGGAAATACTCGGATGGCGTGAACTGCCTCTGGCTGGCGAGCTGATACTGGAGGTAGAGACGGAGGTGAGCTGTGTGCATCAAAAAGTATGTTCCACGTTCTTGTTTGAACGTTTTTTTAATTTTGTAGAAAAAAGCGCATTCGGTTCTGAAATATCGCGAGCACCAGGAACAACTGGCGAAAGTCGAATTGAGCAGCGATGAAATCCGCAAGAAAGAGGAGGAACATCAAGCAAAGTACCGGGCAGCGCGTGAGGCTCGCCGCCTGGCCGGTCACTTTAGGATGCGTGGCGGTCAGCGTGTGAAGCAGGTCGATGAGAATGACGGCATTCCACGCGTGAGCGTCATCATCAAGGGCGATGTCCATGGGTCAGTTGAAGCCATACTGGATGTGCTGGAAACCTACAATAGCAACGATCGCTGCCGCCTGGACATCGTGCATTACGGCGTGGGCAATGTCACGGAAGGTGATCTCGAGCTGGCCAAGGCCTTTAATGCCATCATTTATGCGTTTGCCGTGGAAACACCACAGGCCAAGCTGGCCAAGGATGTGAAGGTCAAGAGCTACAATGTCATTTACCGCCTGATCGATGATCTCAAGGAGCAGCTGAGCAGCCAACTGCCCGCTGTGGAGGTAGAGGAGCATCTGGGCGAGGCCAATGTGCTGCAGCACTTCTTCATCAACGAGGGCCGCAAAGAAATTCCAGTGGCCGGTTGCCGCTGCACCAAGGGCGTGCTCAAGAAGTCCCAAAGGTTTCGCTTGCTAAGGGACGGCGAGGTTATCTACGATGGCACCTTGGAGTCAATGCGTCACTTGAAGAACGAGGTGGACTCGGTTAAAAAGGACGTGGAATGCGGCTTGCGCTTTAAAGATGCCAAGGTGCTCCCACAGCCAGGCGATACACTGCAATGCTATACCACGCACATGGAGGCGCAGCAAACGGATTGGGATCCTGGCTTTTAATTAATTGCCGCTTGGTAGCTGGTTGGCTGCTTTTCTATTGTTGCCGCTGCTTTCGTTTGTTATCGCCATTTCATATGCATATATCTATAGTTTTGTATTTTATATATTTGTTGTATAGTATATAAAACAAATCCACTATCCGACTTCCTGTTGATCTTACTGCTGCTGGGGCTCTGCCACTGCCACCCTTCACCCACATGCCTAGCGCTTAGGATAACGCCGCTGCCGCAGCGGAACTGTCGCCGATAAGCCGCTGACAGCTGCGACAGCGACTGCGTGCGCCCCTGGCTGTCCATATATGCATGCCATGACGGAAGCTGTCTAAATGGGTCAAAGCAATGCTAATTGGAGTTAACCCACAGCAAGGCAGCAAGAAGCATAGCCAGTGCCCCAGACCAGAACGTATTCTTCTCGCCTTTCTGATAAACGATTTCCGTTGGGGGTGGCCAATTAGCGCTTAGTTCTCCCATTTATGAATGAGCTCTTTTTATTTAATACACATCGCACATTCTATATTACATTACACACATACTTATTTTTTTATACTTATAATCGCACTAAAATGCCTTGCCTTGAATATTGCGGATTTTTTTATTTCGCGCTGCGACATAGTTACTTATTAGCTAACTGGAAGAAACTTTCCCTCGTGGTCGGTCGGTCTGCTGATAAAAATGATTTATTTTTAGTAATTGGAATTCATTAAACTAACTAAACACTGGGACAAATTTTGAATTTGGGCTAATGTAATGTTCATAACGTGAATCTCTACTTAAGGACCTTTCGGAGACGGTCTATGCGTATGCGAAAAGCTCTACATATCTGGAACACTTATTAAGAAACATTAGAATTACTTAGAGATATTCCTAGTTCAATTTATGAAACATTTTCAACATTATGCAGACCTGAATTCCGATTTATTAAATCGTTCAAAATGAAGGATAGCTGATATTAACTTTTGATATGTTCGTTTTCAACATGTTTTTCTTTTTAGTTCGCAGTCACAACAATAAACAAATTAAATTTCATCGAAACTAGTTTTTTTTTTTAGCATTTTGGAATTTAATTAGTTATTAGTCTGTAGTTAAACTTAATCGCAATATCCACCAAGTATATCTACAAAAATTAAGATATAAAGTCCTTAGCTCAACAAATTTATTTTGAATCAAAGTGTAAGCTGTACAAATTCAAAAATTGCTAAATCTAATTTCACCAGAAAATATGAAATTAAAATGTATATTAAATTGATTCTTAAGCCAGTGTGCAGCATGCTTAAGCAAAAGCCACGAATGTGGCTCAAAATCAGAGTACGCTTATCGTACGTCATAGAGCTCCAAAAAAAAAGAAACGGAAATAAGAACTGGGATTAGGCTATTTTTGGTGTTTGGTGTTTGGTGTTCGTCGAGATTATACACGGAAGCTATAGAAGACTGGAATGCGGAAATAATGGGCAGACAGTATGACCGAAATGCTGCAGACTGGGCAATTCATGAATGAACTCGTACAATTAACACAACTTAGTAATAGATACTAGAGACACTCGATATGTCGAGGCAATGCCGTTGATGAATTTGTTGAATGAATTTGACAGACTGCAGATCGCCTGCTCTGCATGTCTATATTTGTCTGGGCTGTTAAAAAAAAGAGAAGAAGACAAATCAGAGTATAAACAGGCACATGTGTTTTAGCAGCAATTAAGCCGAATTGGCTGCTGTTCCTGCATAGTATTGCCATGTATATTATGACAAGGATCGGCGGCGAGCAAAGGACCCTTGCTGTCGACATGTGTTCATCAGCCACGCTCGTTAGGGGCGTCAAATGATCTTCGACTTCAATTTGAACATGTGAGTCAACAACGCAGACAGTAAATCACCGGCCCGGCCTGGTGGGTACTTTCAACATCCACAGGCACAACCACACACACACGTATATGGGGAACACACACGTGCAACGCATGAAGATCAGTTGCAAAGTTGCCAAGTTGAATGAGAGAGAACCAGTTGGAAGTGAAGAGCGAAATGCAGGCAACAAAAAACTCGCATCGAACTCAGTCGCTTGTGTTGGCTTCGAGTAGCCGGTTCAAAGAAGGATCATACGCATTAAGAACTTCAATAAGTGATCCACAACAAAAAAAGAGAAGTATATGCTATAATTGCATATACGAAATAAGAAACGCCGCTCGGCAACTGCCTAAGCCCTTTATCCAGTTTGGGGCTGATTAGAGACAACACAAAAAAAGCAGCGGAAGCCCAAGCCCGCTGATCATGGCGCTATCGCCACAGTTGCTTTGACGCCGACGTCGACGGCGACGCTGACGGCGACGGCGACGGCGACGCAGAGGCAGCGGCAGCCGCGATGCTGAGGCAGACGCCGCCTTGTGGTGCTGCAACAGAATTAGAGCGATCTGGTCTCGTTCAGTTGGTGGCGTGCGCTCTAGCCCTGCGGGTGTACTGTGATCGTGATCTCGATCGTGAACGTGTGTTGCAAGGACGATAGCAAGGACGAAGACGACAACGACGCCGCGAGATTTGTTAGCCTTATATGTGTGTCCTTTTTGGCAATGCGCAGGCGCAAAGTGCAAACGAACGAATGTGCCCAGTGACAAATAAGTGTGCCAAATAATTAAAACTCAAGTGTGAAACATTTCAAGTGCCTGTGCATCAAAAAGCAAACTTCTAAATATTTGTGCAGCGCCAAACGCTGTCGATTAGTATAAAGCAGCAGCAGCAGCAGCAGCAGCGAAATGGATTTATCGAGGCGGTTGCGGTAAGCATCTGACAAATATGTATCCCACAGATACAATTGCCAGCCGCAGCAGCTGAAGCAGCAGCAGCAGCAGCAGCAGGAGTGTTTGGCTGGAAATTGATTCCTTTTGTGCTCGCCCACAAATTACAGTGTCAATGCGAATTTTAATTTCATTTGAACTACATGTGCAAACACTTGACTTGGCTCCCAGCTGGCAGCCTGGCAGCCTGGCAGCCTGACTGACTGGCTTCCGCTGATTGTCCTGCACACATGTGTGTGGGCGACTGTGTGTGTGTGTGTGTGTGTGTGTGTGTGTGTGTGGAAGTGCTGGCTACGTGCTGTCTGTGCAACAGGCGCTTCGCTGTTGACAGTGCGCGACTGACTGCCATTATCCTGGACAACATTTTGTTTGCATGCCAAATTACATTTGCCGCTTAATTGAAGTTTGTTAATGAAAATTGCAAATTTTGCAAACAATTTCGAAAGTATCCTTGCCGCCATACAATTGCTCTCTCTCTCCATTAAGTTAATAGTTGTTGCTATATGAGAAAATGCTCCTCACGCATCTTTAATAAAGCTTTCTCTATAGTCGTATGTAGCCATAAAATCTTAATGAAGTCATTCAATTCAAAGGATATCAAAATAAATATAGTATAATTGTAGAATAGAAATTTGTAGAATTTCTTTTAATATGATCAAAGTTCTTGCGGCCCACATATGCACTATCGATATTTCCGGTTACCTGTTACCTGTGCGGACAGCCCATTTTGCTTTTAGCTCTGGCATTGTTGGCTTTTGAAATTTGTGTGCGAACACAGAAATCAAATCAAAATTTCATATTGAAATGTAAATATTTATATGCGTGTGCCCATCGAGTGTGTGTGCGTGTGTGTGTGTGTGTGTGTGTGTGTGTGTGTGTGTGTAGGTGAAGTGCGTGTGCTTTGAAGTACTCCCAAAAAGAAAAAGAAAAACTTTGAAATGAAGCGAAACAGGCAACCGTTCAAAGTTGATGCTCTGCTCGGTGGCTCGGCTGATAGATCTTGATGGAGCTGAAGCTGAGGCAGTTGCTCTCACGCACACGACGCTGGACATCTATCTTTCGGCTGATCTGATGACCGCAGCGCACTGTGTGTGTGCGTTTTATTTTTGGCCAAAGTCATAAAGTTGCCGTCGCGGTGGCCGGTCGCCAATATGCCCAGAAACTTGTTCCTCCCATGCCAGACACTGGCGTGGCCTGGCTCTGGCTCTGGCGCTGGCTCTGGCCAACTGGCAGTTAGCGCATCCATTCGTCAAGTATTTTAAAGTTTTTCGCGAAAAACGCTGTGTCTGCCACTTGAAAAAGGAAAATGCTGCGCGTTGTCAACGGCGAGGTCGCTTCTTTTTTTTTTTTTTTGTATATTTCTGAGATTTTTTTTCAGTGGCTGCTTTGTTTTTTGGCCGCGCTATGTTCTGTGAAATTGCGTCAGAATGTGGCCAACACATGACCTCTTTAGCGTTGACTTTGCCGGAGGCGATAACGACACGTGTTTAGCAATAGATTGAATCAAAGTTTGCGCCAACATACACATATTCTTTTAATCTGTCTAACATACATAAAACAAACTGGATATTTATTCTCGATCTGAACGCGAGAAACAACTTGAATTAAATGCAATGCCTAATTGAGGGAATATTTTGCAAGTTTTCTTGCTTTTATTTTATCATTAGCTAATGATATTAAATTCAGCCTATCAGTTTTTGATCATTTCGTTTTTTTTCAAGCACATTTCTTGGCGAACAAATGCCTCAGTTCAAGTATTTTGCCCATTACCCAACTTGAAATATTTGTCGGTAAGTGAGTCGATTATTTAGCTGGCCGATAGCTGTGACTTGTCGCCGACATCAACTCGGCCCGGGTCAATAGACAGTCTGTGGCTTAATGGTACAACCTAAACATTTTAAGGCCCTCTCATCTATGTGTGGGGCCATTAACAACTGGTCGTATAAGACTCTTATTGCGAAACTTTGTGGCTCGTGACGTCTTTGAACTTGACTCAGACGCTGTTAATGTCGATCAGAGTAAGCGGAATAAAACAGATTGTTATTCAGCTGTAGATGATATGCCATGTTTATGTTCATAGCTTAATAGATATGTAGATCAAGTTAATGCAGAGCGCCAAAAATAAATGCTTACCTCTTATGTATATGTATGCGCCGCTCCAGTCATTGTTTGTTATGTTTAAACTATAATTTTCCGCTGAAAACCACTAAATTTCGACCAGCAACAATTTGAGCAACAACAGCAACAACAACATGACCAAATTGTTTATTGAGTGTTTGTTAGCATTCATCTAAGTATAAACAATAAATTCCCCAAATTGATGCTTTGAAAAGGAAAATGATACACGTACATGTGATACAAAGTGGCCCCAAGAAACCGGCGAATCATGCTGCCAAGACGGACACGATGGCACGAGGCAAACAAAAGCACATCGCATTGCATAATTGAGCCTTAATTACTATTTATAAATTGTTTAAACAAACGCTGATCTAATGTACTCCAAGGGGTTCCCAATGCCTTTGCTGCTGCTGCTGCTGCTGTTGGCGCGAAAAACACGCCGGAAATGTGCTTGAATTTTGAAATTTGATGTTGAGCATGCAGTTGGTGGAAAATGAAATTAACGAGAATATCGAATGATGCGGCAAATGAGCAACAAATTAAACACAAGTCCACCAAAGACTTGGACAAACGACTTCTCTTGTGACTCCTTCCATGGCTCAATTACGGTCCAAGTTCATGGCAGCCATGTTGCACGCTGCATTTGCAACATGTGTGCTTGAGGTCCCGACTGCCGACTGCAAACTGGCCCCCCAGTGGCAGTTAATGATCATGATCTGGCGAAGATCTGCAGATCTTGTTCCCATGGCCTTATGCATTATGCTTAATTAACAAAGGCTGCCGACGACATCGTGTTTAATTATTCCATAGCCCGGCGTTAAATCAAATGCCGGCTACCAGTTGCAAATATGTTAATTTTTCGCCCAAAAGCAACGCACATACATATGCACATACATAAGCATATGCATATGTATGTACATACATAATTAAATCGATAGTCGACTCTGCAGGCCCAGCATTTTCATGAGGTCGACGCACGCTGCAACGCGGAAGATAAAAAGGATGCCCCAAACAAACACACACAAAATATGCCGCCGCAAAATTGCAGAGGCCCAAAACAACAAAAAACAAAAAACAAAAATAAAGAAAAAGCCAAAAAAAATTTCGCATGACGGCAAAAATATCCAAAATTTGCCACAAGGGAACCGAGTGACAGTGGGCATTAGCAGGCAGCGCAGAGGCCTCAACGAGATGCGTCACATGCAGCAAAATGTGCCCAAAAAGCTGCGCTGCCAGCAACAGACGCAACAGTCGCAACAGTCGCAGCAGCAACAAGTGAGGCAGACAGAGCAAAAAGCCATAAAAATCTTATGACTGCCGGCTAAAGAGGCGAGCTGGCAGCTTGTTGTTGTTGTTGCTGTTGCTGCTGCTGCTGATGTTGCTGTTGCTGTGGGATGTTGCAGACGTGACTCAAATTCCGATGACAGAACCGGAGCAAAATAAAGCCAAAATTGAAATAAAATAGGGACATTGGGAGAAAAGCACAGGACAAGTTTTTTACGACAGCCTGCAACTGCAACTGCAGCTTGTTGCATCATTTAGCATTTATATAAATATACATATCTTGTACAGGTAGATGGCTTGATTTATCTGCCACCTTCAAAGCAAATGGCAATGGCAGCAACAGCCCGTCAGTTGATAGGAATTTGGAAGAAATGCTGCCGTCAGTGCTGGGAATAACAATTCCAGTTGATAATTGCGTAATAAATCAATGTCTGTTCTACATTTTGGCTGTCGGTCATTTAGTTAAAATGTAGTCGGATTCGCGAGCATCGTTTGGCTCTTCAAAGCGATAAATGTAAATAATTGCAATTGTTGCGCGTCACGTTGTCATGGCCAAAAAGGATGAGCTATTTTTTAGGAACGTTTCAATATCTGAGGCAATACGACGAGTTAGGTTAGTCAAGTTCGCCTTTTCTATTAAATATATATTTCTTGGTTCAGGTATTGCTGAAGATATTATAGCTTCTCGCTGTTATGTATGTTCGAGAGTTTTCATTAGATTGTTTTTCTTTTTTTATTGCATTTTAAAGATAATTGAAACCAAAATCCAAACCTGTAAGATTCACATGTTATACTTGTAATCCGTGTACTTGAACCCTGATCCATGTTATCCTATAGCGTAGTTTAGGATCCTCGTTAACTAGATTAGTTAATGGAGTTGACAAATTTAATAATATACTGAATAACAATATAAATTTACTTTTGAACTAAGCTCCACCTAGTTAAAAATTACGTCGACTTCTCTAAGAGAATTTGCTGTTACGAAGCCTTTTAGCATTCTGCCCCAAAAACTTTAAAGCGATAAGAGAGAATACTTAATCCTTATGCTTTATTGTAAAGTAATGTCCACATAATAATTAATTAATTAATGGAGGACTAAATATTTCTGAATGTCGAAAAATGCTTTTTATCCCCAATTAATAATTAGTACAGATACTCTAGCCTGATAGTATGATACATTCTATTAAGCTTGTGAAGTTGTTTGCTTCTTAAATTCCATAAAATATTCAAGGAAATTAATAAAATTTAAAATTTTAGAACATATTCATTAACTGTAGTTTTTATTCACGAAGCCGCAAAATATATCTTATTCAAGCGCAGACCATTTATTATATCAAATGTATGAGATGCTTGATGGTAAAATAGTTTTAATGCTATTTTAGCGAGGCTGAAAAATGTTTCTACATAATTTCATAATAAACGCCTTTCGCTTATGTTTACAATGTGTGTATACAAATACACATGAATGTATATCGCAGAAAAAATGTGCACAATTTTTGAGTTCTTCTATTTCTTTATTAATGTTGAGTATCTAATTTATTAGCTATATACTCAGTTAAATAAATATCTATAAAAAGTCTGCAGGTAATTATGTGCTAAAATCTTTTCGAGCAATGCGCATCCTGGAGATTCTATTTTCAGAACTGACCAGCACATAAACTGTTTATACATAGACTTGATAAATCGGGCCAGTTGGGCGCAACTAAGTACAAAGTTCGAAAGTTCGAAAGTTAATACTTTATGATTTTGTGCTTTGTTTTCGCTGTGCAATTAGTTATAAGTACTTGGAGTAGCACTCGCACTTGTATGCGTATTCGTAATTGTACAACTTTGGAGCACTTGAAGCAGCTTGTTGCAATCGCGTACCGAATGAGTTGGGCAAATAGAAAATTGCCAATGTTTGCCTGTGCCGCGAGCCATGAGGCGGGAGAATGAGGCGTCGACGGCATTATGATGCCTCTAATTAGCTGCCTGGCATGTTTGTTGTTTTTGGCGTTGTTGCTGTTGCTGTTGCTGTTGCTGATTTTGTTGTTGTGTCTCGCATATTGCAGTTCAAGTGCCTGCTGCCCAGCCGATGCAACATTTGCCATAAAAATTTGTTTACAAGTGTTTGTTGTGTTATGCAAAGTCAAACATTTTCGCCTGCCGCTGTCAGCCAGTGAAATTTATGGGTCAGTAAGTTGCTGCAGCTAGCACTAAAGTGAAATGCAGCAAATGCAGCAATCATTCGCCCTCTCTCTCTCTCTGTCTGTCTCCTTAAGTATGCCTATCTCTTTCTGTCTGTGCTAGAGCTTTACTGTGCATTCTGTTTGCTCATTTGCTTTGCTCGTTTGTTCAAATGCGTGACAAATATTTCATTAGGCATTTATGCACACTTTGTTGCTGTTGTTGCTGCTGCTGAAGTGCCTTTTAGCCCGAAAAGAGGCAACTTTGTTGGGGCTCGTCTGTTGCATAACCCTGCCCGCTAGGTGCCTCTCATTTGGTAAACAATTCCAGCTTAATGTTTATTATTTTCACTACTCAATTAAGTTTAATTAATTTTGAAATTGATAATTGGAACGCTTGGCAAGTGTTTCTGGCAGCCAGCAGGAGCCCAAGCGAACCCAAGCTGAGCCAAGCTGAGCCAAGCTGAGCTGTCAATGTCGTGTGTGCATGGCTTTATGCAAATGCAATTAAAATTTCAACAATGCAAACATTTACATCCGTTGCAACAAATGTCGACGCATCGTGCCAGCATCTTCATAGACTCATCCCCGCAGTCATCATCTGCAGCAGCAGCATTTACAACATTTACCTGACAGCAGCAACATTTGCCTGGCCACACCTCAGCCAGAATTTGGCGTTTCGCATTAGCCTGTGTTTGTCTTGCGATAATTGTCTGACTATGTAATTGTATTTACACGCTTCCATATGTGGGCGTGACAGTTGAAATGGCAATGCCAACGTATCCTTTCAACTAATGAGGCCACCTGGCCTGGGAGGCTGCACATAATTGCTGCCTGTTGTAACAAGGACAAATAAACTACACGCTCCCGAATCCAGCCACAATACTCTGGAATACAATGCACAATGGGGGTTATTGGGCTACAACTCTTCTAACCTTGGTAGTTTTGGGGCTTTATTGGCAACTTATCACAGCAAATGTATTTAAATGTTTGTCATATTTTGTGCATTCAATGATTGGCATCATTTTGACTTTGAGTTCAACGTTGGCTTGTTTTTTTAACTGCATTTCAATTTGCTGCAATGAAATCAGTTGCAATTCCATTGAGGCACATAAGAAATGCCAACATTTTTTACAATCAGCATTTAAAACGAGGGGGCAGCCAAAGTCAAATGATTGCAGCTGGCATCGAGTGGGAGAGACGCGGGGCATACGCATTCCATCTTCATCAAAGGCTCGGGTGCCTGCGAAATGAGTTTGAGGCTGTTGTGGCATCTGCATGGTACGCACAAATGTGCTGCGTGCTGCACTCTTTCATTGGCTTTCAGTACATTCTTGTACTTTTAAATAGAACACACTGCTGCCCCAGCTGCCCCAGCTGCCGCAAGTGCCACAAGTGCCGGGCCCAACTATTCAGTATGGGTTAATCAAGTGGCATGGGAAACAGCGCGAAGAGTCGCTCCTTATGCTCCTCGCCTAAGTGGGGGCGTTTGCTCGACTCGACCTCGTCGATGAGTCATGTTAACATAAACAAATCAAACGCGCTGCTTTCTATCTATTCAGGTGTGGAGGCTGCCTTCCATTTATTTTTGTTGCCGACTCTTTGTTTAGATTTAGCTCCGACTTGCCACATATTTTAGCTAGTTTTTGGCTTTTGTTTAGCATCGAATTTAAGTATTGTACAATTTGTTTGTGTTCTTGAGCTTGGCGGCTAAGTGCACGCACTTGTACAGTAAGTGCTATTGTTATGGCTGTTCTTGTTCTTCTTGTTGGGGCCAATAAACAGGCCCGTTATTTATGATGGCCATTGCAACATGTTAACCCACAAATGCACTTGTTGCTTGCCAGACATTTCCAAATACATGCACATCCATAGGATGTAAATTGAATGTGAACAAACATTGCCCCACAGATGGGTGTGAACCAAATAATCGACTCAATTTTCCTAGACAAACGCATATATTGACTCTACAAGTTGTTGAATGATTTTCGTATACCTAATCAGCAGGAGTTAACATAATGTATCATAACTAAACGTAAATGTTGAGCCTTCAAAATTACTTACATGGGGCAGATAATATTCAGAATTTTTTGATGGTAGTTCTTTTTCACCCTTCCATCGCCTTTCTATGTGATTTTCATCACTAACAAATGATTTCATATTGTTCAAATTCAGTAGTTACAAACAATTGAGACAGAGTACTCATCACTTTTAACTACTTACTCATTACTACTCCTACTTGTATTGTAACGAACTCTTGTTTTCCATTGTACTTCAGAGATTTCTCTGAGCCAAGCAACGAACAATGCAGACCATTGTTTGATTGTTTAAATGGAATCCTTTCATTTTGGCTTAAATGGGCCTGTAAATTGACCCGGACCACGCTGTCGAAAGTCGCCGCAAGCCGCTGCCTTGATCTTGGCCATTAGTGAGCAGCGAGCAGTGCTGAGCTGCTCCAGATTGACGTCCATAATCCAATTGGGGTCAGAACGAAGGCAGCACTAACATTGGCAAACATATATTAACCTGGACATGCCCCTGATGTTATCTCATTTTGTTGTAAAGTTTCAGCCGAATTTTTAGCATTTCCGCCTTTGTTTGACATTTATTTGGAGGCGGTGTGGCTGAATTCCAGTGGCATCCATTTGATGTGTACGGGTAATGCTTGGGCATATGTATTTGACGATTGCGGCAGCTGTTTATGTTTGTGTCACGTGGCATCCGCCATATGTGGCAACAAGAATTCTGTGTATAATGTTTTGTTTTCGGCAAGATTCGGATATGTTTCACGTAGTGGGAAAATTGTGCGTAATCAGCAGGCAGCCGCACATAAAAATGAAATCACGAACTGGTCGCGGTTTCTGCGGTCTCAGCAGATTTCACTGAATTATCCAATTAATCGCCTGGTCCGAGGCTGCGACAGTGTCCTAGTAGTGTATCCTGTTTGTATGACGCAATTGCAAAGGAGGCGTCTAAGCGTCGCCGCGCCGCCTCGAGCTCGGTTCAGCCAAGGCTCAATGGACTGTGAAATGTGTGCCGTAGCATTGTTGTTGTCCTTCTCGTTGTCGTTGCCGTTGTCATAGTCGGTGTTCTGGCGTTGTCGTGGCGCACTTGCCAAAGCAATAGGTGTCCTGGCATTGGTTTCAAAAGGGAAATGCGCTCAAATTGCATTAAAATGCCAACACAGAAGCATAAAAATTATGGCCACACACTTGGCGTGCCACACTGCCCTGTCATAAGCAGCACGCCTGCTGTGCCCCCAAGTCCCAATCGCAGTCGCAGCCAGTCGGAGGCGTCCAAGTGTAACAAAACGCAGGCTCCTTGCACGCAGCGTCAGAAATTAAATTGGCAAGCCACCAACAATGAGCCTGGCCTGGGGCCACTAAGCTCTGCTGCCTGCAACATTGAACGCTTTTGACATATTCACGCAACTTGTCCTCGTCCTCGTCCTCGTCCTCGTCCTCGTCCTCATTCTCTTCCTAAGCACTGCTCCGTCGACTTTAGCTGTGGCTGCGGCTGCGGCGTCGCCTTGTCTGTGGCATAATCATATATTCTCTGCTGGCGGGTACTTATTATTTGCTTGTTCTTTTCTTTTGGCAAATCGGCAGGAAGCGCTGCTAAATTATGTCTTGTTTATGTGGCACTGCATATTTATGGCCAGTGTCGCGCGGCGCAATAAAAAAATGTTCTTACCAAAAGAATGAAATTGCAAAAATTTGACTTGACCAACTTCCACTAAGCGCCCACTCCACCAACACCACGCCGCACAATGCAAAAACAAGTTCAATGTTTGTTTGCTCTGCCCAGTGGACAAAAACAAGTTCACGCTTTTGTTGTTGTTGTTGTTGTTGTTGTTGTTGTTGTTGTTGTTGTTGTTGTTGTTGTTGCTGTTGTTGCGAAGCCCTACAAAAGTTTATTTGTACACCTTTGAGGGACGTGGCGTGCCTCTTTTGAGAAAGTCTTTGACAAGTGACTGACTCGCATCTCCCTCTCTCTCGTCATCATTATTTGTCTCGCATCCGCCTTTTAGGTTTTTTTTAATGAGCCTGTGCGGTCAAGCATGCGGCAAAGTCAACAAATATTTGCAACAAGTCAACACGTGACGATGTGCCTCATGCTTTTTATGAATGGGCGAGCGAATTGTGAGCACAAATTTAATTAAATTGTTTCCAATTTCTCTCTACTTGCAGCTCAACTGCCTTGATAGCATTCATAGTACTTATAGGCATACAAGACTCACAGAGTAGATTCGTAAGTAAAACCCATGGCAAATCGTATCGATCGAGCTCTATAGCTATTATTCCATTGTAGCCTGGACTACGCGCAAAAAGACAGTATGGCGCAAATCTGTATTTGCCCGCCAGTTCCGTGACGCCTGGCGGCGAGGGCAACGATCCCAACGAGTGGACCGATTGGAGCTCACCCTCGGATTGCTCGCGCACCTGTGGAGGCGGCGTTTCCTATCAGACGCGCGAATGCCGCCGTAGAGAGTGAGCTATCCATATTGGAGATCCCAAAGATACTATAATAATCCACAATTTTCTTTCCGCTTAGCTCGAATGGCGAAGCTATGTGCAGCGGCGGCAGTCGTCGTTACTATTCATGTAACACACAGGACTGTCCCGAGGAGGAGCCGGATTTCAGGGCTCTGCAGTGCTCGCGCTTCGACGATACCAAATTCGATGGCGTGCTCTACGAATGGGTGCCCTACACCAATGCGGCCAATCCTTGTGAGCTGAACTGCATGCCCAAGGGCGAGCGCTTCTACTATCGCCAGAGGGAGATGGTCGTGGATGGCACACGGTGCAACGACAAAGACTTGGACGTGTGTGTCAATGGCCAATGCATGCCGGTTGGCTGCGACATGATGCTGGGCAGCGAGGCCAAGGAGGACAAGTGTCGCAAGTGTGGCGGCGATGGCAGCACCTGCAAGACCATCCAGAACACGTATACCTCTAGTGATCTGGCTGCTGGGTATAACGATCTGCTGCTCGTGCCCCAAGGAGCCACGAATATTCGCATTCAGGAATCTTCGCCATCGAACAACTATCTGGCCTGCCGCAATCAGACAGGTCACTATTATCTGAACGGCAATTGGCGCATTGATTTCCCACGTCCCATGTTCTATGCGGGCTGCTGGTGGAACTATCAGCGCAAGCCGATGGGCTTTGCGGCGCCTGATCAGCTGACTTGCAGTGGTCCCATAACCGAGAGTATCTACATCGTTATGTTGGTGCAGGACAAGAATGTGAGCGTTGACTACGAGTACAGCATCCCGGAATCTCTGAGCCACAGCCAGCCAGATGCACACACGTGGACGCATCGTGAGTTTGGACCTTGCAGCGCGTCTTGCGGCGGTGGAACTCAGTCCCGTCAAGTGACCTGCAACAATCGCATTAATTTACAAGAAGTCGATGAGGCTTTGTGCGAGGCTCAGAGCAAGCCGGCCGAGAGTCAGGCCTGCGGTACTGAGCCATGTGCTCCACATTGGGTTGAGGGCGAATGGAGTAAGTGTTCAAAGGGTTGCGGATCTGATGGCTTTCAAAATCGCACTGTTAGCTGTGAGCGCATTTCGTCTGATGGGTAAGTTGTGCCTAGTGCTCCAGTGAACACAAATGATGAAAGACATAATATTTCATAGTGTTCACACGGCGGAGGACGATGCCGTTTGTCTAAAGGAGGTAGGAAACAAGCCAGCAACAGCTCAGGAGTGCAATCGTGACGTCAAGAACTGTCCGAAGTATCATTTGGGACCCTGGAAGCCCTGCGACAAGCTGTGCGGCGAAGGAAAAGAAACCCGAAAGGTCACCTGTTTTATTGAGGAAAACGGTCGCAAACGTGTCCTGCCCGATGGGGATTGTGTGGAAGATAAGCCTGAGGTGGAAAGAGCCTGTCTACTGGCACCTTGCGAAGGTGTTGACTGGATCGTTTCCCAATGGAGTGGTGTAAGTAAAATTTATTAACTGCAGGCTCAAAAGGATTTAACCTTTTTCCGTTAGTGTGATGCCTGTGGTCAGAATACCGAAACCCGTACTGCCATTTGCGGCTCCAAGGATGGCAAGGTATACCCGGACAAGTTTTGCGGATCAAAGGCGCCCGAGTTGTCCAGACCCTGCACTTCTTCAAAGTGCGAGTCGCAATGGTTTTCGTCCGGTTGGAGCAAGTGCTCAGCAGCATGTGGAAAGGGCGTACAATCGCGTATTGTCCTCTGTGGAGTTTTTGATGGCAAGAGTATTAAAACAACAGACGACTCGAAGTGCGATGCAGCTACGAAGCCAAAATCGGACCAGGAATGTGAAGGCGAAGAAAAGGAATGTCCTGGTCAATGGTTCACTGGTCCTTTTGGTCAGTGTAGCAAACCTTGCGGTGGTGGTGAACGCGTTCGAGAAGTGTTATGCTTATCCAATGGCACAAAGTCCCTCAACTGTGATGAGTCTAAGGTTGAATCAATTTCTGAAAAGTGTAATACTCAGCCTTGTACCAAGGATCAAGTCCTGCCTCTCACTAGCACTGATAAGCCAGTTGAAGATGATGAAGAGGAATGCGAAGATGATGACGAGTTTGATTTGGTCACCTCTGACGTTACAGATGAATCAAATGTCACAGATGATGAGTCAAAAACAATGTCGACCACAGACGATTTAATGTTGAGTGACAGTCCTTATACAACTTCTGAAGACGCCTCTGCTTCTACCGACAGCACAGTCGAAGGATCAGGCTCAGAAAGCACTTCTGATAGTGGATTCTCAACCGAAGGTAGTGGAGATGATGAAGATACATCTTCGACGGATGCATCTTCCTCTGGATCCACGGACTTGTCTACTGAATCAAGTGGATCTTCTGATAGTAGTGATTCGACCTCAGAGGCCTCATCTTCTTCTGTATCGGGATCCACTTCAGACTCCTCAGCAGGAGGATCAACTGAATCTACTTCAAGTGTTACAACGGATTCCACAACAGACACATCGAGCTCGGGCTCAACAGACTCAAGCTCAACTGATGTAACGAGCTCAACCGAAGAGTCAAGTTCGACGGATGCCTCAAGCTCGACAGATGCTTCAAGCTCAACAGATGTCTCGGGCTCAACAGAGTCCTCCGGCAGCACTGATATATCCAGTTCGACAGATGCCTCAAGTTCCACAGATACCTCAGGCTCAACGGATGGTTCCAGTTCCACAGACGCCTCAAGTTCAACGGATGTTTCAAGCTTCTCAGACGCTTCAAGTTCCACGGACGTCTCAATCTCAACAGAAGAGTCCAGCTCGACAGATGCCTCAGGCTCTACGGATGGCTCTACAGATGGTTCTTCCAGTGGATTTACAGATATGCCTATCGAAACTTCATCATCAGGGTCTACTTCATCTTCAGAATCCACTGAATCTAGTAGTTCAACAGAAGGTGTATCATCTACTTCAGAATCCACAAGTGATGCAACGAAAGATACGACTGTCATATCGACTTCAACAGATGTTTCATCTTCGACAGATTCATCTGTATCTACAGATACGACTGCCTCAACAACAACTGAAACTACGACGGAGCAATCGACAGAATCAACCCAATCGACTAGTTCACCAGACTCAACTGAGAGCACCACAGAGGGTAGCTCGACCGCGTCATCTGAGACGAGTAATGCGTCTAGCGAATCATCCGATTCAACAACTGGCGCTACTGAAACTACAGATTCTTCAAGCTCAGGCTCAACAGAAAGCACCGAACAAGGATCTACAGATGGGTCAACAAGCAACGATAATAGCAGCTCCATTGACGCTTCTACTGATACATCGACGGATGGTGTAAGTCATAGTTCTACAGAAAGCTCCACAGATGGTTCGACTGACAGCTCACCAATAATTTCGACTGGCTCCACCGATGGCTCGTCTTCTGGATCATCTGATAGTTCTACGGATGGTTCTACTGATGTTACAACCGATAGCTCGTCCGATGGCTCAACTGACTCTTCCAAATCTTCGGAATCAACTGAGTCTACGACAGCACAAAGCTCTACCTCATCGGAAAGTACTTCGGAGGTTTCAAGCAGTGGCTCAACAACTGAAGGAAGCTCCAGCTCTACTGACGTCTCAGGCTCCACCGTCAGCTCAAGTTCCACCGTCTCTAGCTCCACCGACAGATCTAGCTCCACCAGCGGCTCTACAGAAACGACTGGAATTACAACTGAATCTTCTGAATCTACTGGCTCTTCAGCGTCTACTGATGGTTCTTCTGAAACCACCGGGTCCACCGATGCTTCCTCCACTGATGTTACTTCTTCAGAATCTTCCGACTCGACGGCCACCACCGAAAGTGGAGGTACTACCGAAAGTGTGGCGACTACAGATACTACGTCTGAAAGCTCAACTGGCTTATCAAGCTCAACTGGTAGTTCGCTATCTACGGAGGAAGGAACTACCAACGATATCTGGGGCACGTCTGATTCCGATGATGAATCAAGCACTCCACACAGCTGGGAGACAACTCTTACCCCGACAAAGGATAAACTACGTAAATGTAAGCCTAAGAAGAGGAACTGTGAAAAATCCGAATTTGGTTGCTGTCCTGATGGCAAGTCAACAGCCAAGGGACCATTTGACGAGGGATGTCCAATTGCGAAAACTTGCGCTGATACCGAATTTGGTTGCTGCTCAGACGGAGTTTCTCCAGCCGAGGGCAAAAGAAACAAGGGATGTCCGAAATCTGATTGCGCGGATACACTCTTCGGCTGTTGCCCCGACAAATATACAGCTGCCGAGGGTGAGGATAACGAGGGATGTCCAGAGCCAACAACTTTGCCCCCAACAACAACAGAAGAATCAACTATTACCACATCCACCGAAGTTGAAGGATCCGGCGATTCCACTTTGTCAACAGAGTCGGATACCGCTGTCACGTCTTGCTCTTTCACTGAATTCTACTGCTGTCCTGATGGAAAGACACCTGCCAAGGGTGAGAATTTCGCTGGCTGTCCAGAACAAGAAGATCGCCAAGGCTGTGATAAGTCTGAGCACGGTTGTTGCCCAGATCGTCGTACTCCCGCTGCAGGTCCTAATGGCCAAGGCTGTGCTGCTTGCACAAGCGAACCATTCGGCTGCTGTCCAGACAATCAAACGCCCGCTCACGGCCCACAGGGCGAGGGCTGCTGCATTAATACACCTTACGGTTGCTGCCCCGACAACATCCGATCTGCATATGGCCCCAACTTTGAGGGCTGTGAATGTCAAGCCTCTCCGTATGGTTGCTGTGCGGATCAGAAGACATCGGCACGTGGACCACAACAGGAGGGCTGCCCATGTGAGACCACTCCACATGGCTGCTGTCCCGACAAGATCACAGCTGCCAGAGGACCCAAATTTGAGGGCTGCCCTTGTGAAACAATGCAGTTCGGTTGTTGCCCGGATGGCCTCTCCTTTGCCAAGGGACCACATCACCAGGGATGCCACTGTGCCCAGTCAGAGCACAAATGCTGTGAGGATGGCAAGACACCAGCTAAAGGACCGAACTTCGAGGGCTGCACCTGCGTGGAGACCGAGTATGGGTGTTGTCCAGATGGTGTTACCAAGGCTCAGGATGACAAGTTCGGCGGTTGCGAAAATGTTCAAGAGCCACCGCAAAAGGCATGCGGTCTACCCAAGGAACAGGGTAGCTGTGGCAACTTTAGCGTCAAGTATTACTTCGATACAACCTATGGAGGCTGTGCTCGTTTCTGGTATGGCGGCTGTGAGGGTAATGGAAATCGTTTTGAGACCGAGGCTGACTGCAAGGACACGTGCCAGGAATACACCGGACAGCATGTTTGCCTGCTTCCAAAGAGCTCTGGCCCCTGCCAGGGTTACACCAAGAAGTGGTACTTCGATACAGATCGCAATCGCTGCGAAGAGTTCCAATATGGCGGCTGCTACGGCACCAACAATCGCTTCGACAGTCTCGAGCAGTGCCAGAGCACCTGCGCCATTAGCGAGAGCTTACGTAAGTAAAGGGTGAAATATATGAGTACCTAAATTGAATTTCGAATTGAATTTCTATTCCATATTCCATTATAGCCGCCTGTGAGCAGCCTGTGGATAGCGGACCGTGCAGCGGCAACTATGAGAGATGGTACTACGATAACCAGACCGATGTGTGTCGTCCCTTCAGCTATGGTGGCTGCAAGGGAAACAAGAACAACTATCCCACTGAACACGCTTGCAGCTACAGCTGTCGCCAGCCTGGAGTGCTTAAAGGTTTGAGATATTATTTGTTTATTTACCGTGGTTTGGTAGCGTAATGTGTATTAGCAATGTTTTGCCCTGGGATAGACTTAAGCATGAACTTTTTATTTTATCCTGGCTAATGGTATGTTTTTCCACAATTTCCTTTCCTTTGCTTGGCTTTTGTCTGTGCATGATTGCTTGTTACTTGCTATCTATAACCTGAACTCCTGCACGTTATCCTCGCCTCACACGTACACACATACCCAGAGCAATGCTCACTGCCTAAGCAAACCGGTGATTGCAGCGAGAAACATGCCAGATGGCAGTTCTCCGAATCCGAGAAGCGTTGCTTGCCTTTCTACTATACGGGTTGTGGTGGCAATAAAAACAATTTCCCCACATTGGAATCATGCGAGGACCATTGTCCTCGACAAGTTGGTAAGCTTTAAATGTTGTTGCGATCGCTTTCAATGTGCGAAAAGTTGTTTTCCCGAGGCTCAAACACTTTTAACACTGTCCCATTATCTTAGCCAAGGACATTTGCGATATTCCCGCTGAGGTCGGTGAATGCGCCAACTATGTATTTGCCTGGTACTACGATACCAAGGATGCTGCCTGTCGCCAGTTCTACTATGGCGGCTGCGGTGGTAATGAGAATCGTTTCACCAGCGAAGAGGCTTGCATGGCTCGTTGTGAAAAGAAGCCGGAGCCACCAACTCCTCCGCCAGCGCAGAGCGCCGTGGACGTCTGCGATCAACCGGAAGAACGCGGCAATTGTGACAGTTATTCGCTTAAGTGGATCTTTGATAGGTCTAGTGGTGCTTGTCGCCAATTTTATTATGGTGGCTGCGGAGGCAATGGTAACCGCTTCGAGACCGAATCTGACTGTCTGCAGCGCTGTGGCAGACAGCAGCCAGAACCACAGCCCCGACCTCAGCCAGAACCACAACCCCAACCCCAACCCCAACCACAGCCGTCAGGAAATCTGTGTGATCAGCCAGCATCTGTGGGCGATTGCGCTGAGTATGTGCTCAAGTGGAACTATAATTCGACTTTGGGTAGCTGCCAGCAGTTCTACTATGGTGGCTGCGGGGGCAACGATAATCGCTTCGATACCGAACAGGATTGCTCTGCGCGTTGCATTGCAGGCGTAGATGAGGAACCGCGCCCAGAATCCGAAACGGATAAGTGCTTCCGGGCCCCAGAGCCTGGCAACTGTTATGAGAACACAACGCGCTGGTACTACAATAGCCAGGAGGGACTCTGCGATGAATTTGTTTACACGGGCTGCGGAGGAAATAACAACAACTTTGCCACCGAGGAGGAGTGCCAGAATGACTGCCATCCCGCGCAGGAGACCTGCTCCCTGCCACCAGTGGCCGGACGCTGCAGTGACATTTCACAGCGGTGGTACTTTGATGAACGAACCGGTGCCTGCCATCAATTTGAGTTCACAGGCTGCCGCGGCAATCGCAATAACTTTGTGACCGAAAGTTCTTGCATAGAGTACTGTCGTCGTGATCAATCGCAACCGGAGCCGGAACCAGAACCACCAGCTGTAAGTTAATTAATTAGATAATCTGTTTCTATTGGTGCTCATGCTTTGTTTGTTTAAGTCATTTTCGGTGTGCTCACAACCTCCAGAGGCCGGAGAATGCGACAACGAGACCACCGCCTGGTTCTACGACAACGAGAAAATGGCCTGCACAGCGTTCAGCTACAGCGGCTGTGGCGGCAATGGCAATCGGTTCGAGACCCGCGACCAGTGCGAACGCCAGTGCGGCGAGTTCAAGGGTGTCGGTAAGTCAAACAATCAATATATAATTCAATAGTGTCCTAGTTTTATTAACGTGTTGTGTTAGACGTTTGCAATGAGCCGGTGACAAGGGGTCCCTGCACACAGTGGCAGACCCGCTACTACTACGATCGCGATAGCCAGACCTGCCAGCCCTTCACCTATGGTGGCTGCGATGGCACTGGCAACCGTTTCAACGATCTCTATGAGTGTCAAACGGTTTGTCTGGCCGGCCGCGAGCCACAGCCTTCGGGTGCGGCCAAAGGTAACAACGATAGATGTCAGAGCTGCGAGCACTTCGTTTAATATATTTTTGTATTTTGAATTTAATTTTGTCTGGACGTAAGTAGATATCTGCCGGCTACCGGTGATCATCGGTGTGTGCAACGGCCGCGCGGTACAAGAGCGTCGTTGGTACTACGACGATGAGCGCGGCACTTGCGTGTCCTTTATTTACTCGGGTTGCTCAGGCAACCAGAACAACTTCCGTTCCTTTGAAGCATGCACAAATCAATGCGGAAGTAAGCCTGCCACAGAGCTGACACTTAATACCAACTGCACCCGAGCACCCGATCACCCTGCACCCAAATCAATACCTAACCTAAATACACCAAATTCTGCACCCTGCCTCACTTTCTTCACAAACTTCAAGATGCTTGATTGGTTAAGCGTAGAAGTAGCATTCCTTAGTAGAAGTACTTAGTTAGAGCACGTTCACTAGACATAAGCTTGCACGCAAATTGGTAGATAAGCTGAATTGCCTATGCGAATTCCAAAACTGATCACTTTCACTTTTCACAGAGCCAGTCGAGAATGAGATCGGCAACGAAATCTCTCCCAGTCGCTGCGAAACCTACGATAACGAGTGCCGTGATCTGCGCTGCCCGTACGGCGTGCGTCGGGTGCCCGCCGAATCGCAGCCGGAGTGCGAGCAGTGCATCTGCTTGAATCCCTGCGAAGGCTACCCTTGTCCCGACGGTCAACAGTGTGCCATTGATGTGTCCAGCGCCGGTGATCGCGACAATCAGTTTGTGCCCGTCTGCCGTGACATCAACAAGCCTGGTGTCTGCCCACAGTTGGCGGCTAACGCTAGCGAATGCGCCCGGGAATGCTACACCGATGCCGATTGTCGCGGCGACAACAAGTGCTGCAGTGATGGCTGTGGACATCTCTGCGTGGGTCCAGCACGTCCCACACGGCGACCAAATACTCCGCCGCCGGCAGTCATTTACCCAGGCGAGGTGAGAGCCACGCTTGAGACTAAGCAGCCGCAGGAACTGGATGTACAGACCTCGATTGGCGGCATTGCAGTATTACGTTGCTTTGCAACTGGCAACCCGGCACCGAATATTACCTGGTCTCTAAAGAACGTGGTGGTAAGAATTCAACAGGTTTTCAATAAGAACCAAAACTTGATGAGCACTTTATATCCATTTTAGATTGACACGAACCAAGGACGCTATGTGCTCACCTCGAACGGTGACCTGACCATTGTTCAGGTGCGTCAAACCGATGATGGAACCTATGTTTGCGTCGCCAGCAACGGCCTGGGCGAGCCAGTGCGTCGCGAAGTCGCACTGCAAGTAACAGGTGCGTCTCAAATATATTTACTTAAACTATTCCATAAACATGTGCAAATTATGTAAATTTAATTTAATGAGAGGCAATGTGGGTGCACACTTTATTCATAAACATGATAGGAATTTAAGCAAGAATATGGTCAGCTTAAAGAACTTTAGGGTCAGCCGCAGTCATATTCACAAAAAACCAAGGACCGAACCAAACCCTAGGCTCATAGATGTTTGAGGAATTTTCGCTTAAAAACAGAACTTTATATAAATAATATAGGTTAATTATGTTTGAAAATAATTTGCACGTGGCCTTAAAAACTTCGGATTTTCGAAGATTATAGATACTTGTATTATATATTATTGCTTGATTTGGTGTTGGCGTCAGAACTAACCGATTTTTCTTTACGCAATTGTGCATGTTGCTTGCTTTTAACAATTTGCATGTTTTTGGTTACGTGTTGGTGTTGGTAGAGCCTAGAGATGTGCCCGCCTACATCTATGGCGATAAGAACGCCACCCAAATCGTGCAACTGAACCGACCGGCGTTGGTCCGCTGCCCGGCTGGTGGTCAGCCCGCGCCCCATGTTAGCTGGTGGCGCAACAATCACCTCTTCGGCATGGGCAGTGAGACGAGTCGCGCCGAGATGAACCGCGACTATTCGCTGTTCTTCCGCTCGATACAGTTGTCCGATCTGGGCCTGTATACCTGCGACGTGTACAATAACAAAGGTCGTCCCGTCTCGCTGCATGTTACGCTTAAGGCGGTAGGTCCAGCACGCGCTGTCAACAATGAGGATGCCAAATACTTGCAGTATATCATTGACCCGGCAACGGCGCCCGTCACCCAAAGGCCCACATATCCCTATAGACCATCGCGTCCGGTCTATGTGCCACCCCCTATTGTGCACGATCCGAGAAGTAAGTACAATTCGCATGATACTTTTACGGAATGGTTTGTTTTGTGTTTTTGGTTTGAGCATAGAGCTGAAGGTAATTGGAAATTTATATTAATTATCGCCTTATAGTCGATGCCCGAGCTGTTATTGGCCTGGACCCGCAAAATAGCTACACGCCCGGCTCCACAATTGCGATTGGCTGCGCGGTGCAGGGCAATCCGGCACCCAATGTCACCTGGACTAAGGACAACACGCCTTTATACGTCAACGAGCGCATCCAAATAACATGTAAGGCTTCAATCTCTCTTAATATATCAGAGCTTTGGTAACCTTTATCCCTCTCCTTCACTCCACGCAGCCGACCCGCATCGCATGGTCATCCATGATGTTACCACCGAGGATACCGGCGTCTATGGCTGCACAGCGCGCAATGCCTATAGCTACAGCACTAGCCAGGAGACAGTTACCATCGAATGTAAGCAACTGGATACTTGAGGAGGAGATAATACTAAAGTTTTCCTTGTCTTTGCAGCTGTCATACCGGTATCGCCCGAATGTATTGACAATCCCTATTTCGCCAACTGCAAGCTGATTGTCCAGGGCCAGTACTGTGTGAACAAGTACTATGCGCAGTTCTGCTGCAGATCCTGCACATTGGCAGGCCAGATAGCGCAGCCTCATCCTAATGCGCTTTAATTCCATACCAAACTTTAAAGCCTAGCAGCATTTTTGTTGGACTTCTGCATTGAATTGAGTTTAAACCAGAAAATATTCAGAAAATGAGCAATGTCACAAAACCAGCAGAGAGACCAAATAAGCCCGCCAATTGCATAGCCCACAGATCAAATAAAATAACGAACGTTTTGCTTAGTAAATACATATATACATATACAAATATATATCCTATATACGATGATTTCTTCCAGCACAAAAGAAAATAGTATTAGTACTTTATGTTTTTTGTTCCTATTTATTTTTGATTTAAATTCAATCCATAGAAGAAAGTGGCTAAAACTTATTTTCATTTTATAAATATTATTTAGTGTTTTTTCTACGATATTTGTGCAACGAGTAAAGCAATTTAAGTCTAAAAAATATTTGTAAATAAATTAAAATAATATAATAAAGAGTGCATATGTATAAATACTATAACTCTTTCATTCTACAACCACCCACACACAAAATTCATTTCAAATCACCAAAAAGTATGGCAACGCCGTACAATAAGGGATTATTGATTTTCCACCGAGCGCCACACGGCAGCTGTTTGTTGGATTCTGCGCTGTGCTGCCTTAGGGTGGATGGCTTGGAGTTTGGAGTAGTACACAGAGAGAGATAGTAAAATTTGTTTGTGTTTGTCATCGCGTGCAGTTCTTTTTATAACAAAATATTTAGAACAAACCAAAACATAGTTTAAGTCGTTGAAGTATGGAGGACAGCGGCATAGATAGTGAGGATAGACAGTCGAATATATATGAGGATGGTGCAGCGGGTTTGTTGGTAAGTTGTCAATTTGTTCAACACAGAAACGAAGGCTCATGGCCAGGCCCAATGCAGAAAACAGCCAGTGGAGCGCCCAAACATATGTCGGATCTGGAGTTTGAGGTGGCATTTAGGGGTGCCAGCAAGGTATATGCGCCCACGACCATTGAAATCGATGAAGATAGGGCTGCACGAGGGACGGAGCGCAACGAACCGCCAAACACCTGCCGCATACTGCAACGAAAACTAGAACTGAAGGTCGAGCGTGCCAGGCGCAATTATACACAGTTTCAGGAGGAGCAGGTGGGTGCACTAAATCAAATTGAAAGTCCTTGAGCTGATGATATATAGTTCATCTATTCTCTAGGCAACTAAAACACAAGCGGCAACACTTATACCTATTAATCGTTTGCCCATTCCGGGCGAACAGGAGCAGAAGCCGCTGGTCGATTATAAGTCTGAGAGCAGCGATGAGGCGGAGGAGATATCCTTCTTTCCTGCACAGCTGAGGCGTGCCAAACGACGTCAGCAGAATCACGAACTTACCGACACTTTTAGCATTCAGGAGATGACCATCGAGTCGGATCTGGACTCCGATGACAGCGGTGGCACGCAGAATCTGGAACTACTCTTGCCCTCCATGAAATCAAATATGTTGGATAAGTTGAAGAGCTGCTTTGGCTGCTGTCGGCGCAGGTAATGCCAGGAGACGCGGCAGAGCAAGAGACCGTCAAGGCACAAAACACGTTATTGAAAGGCACTAGAAATTCACTTGTAGACACAATATACATAGCGTACATTAATAATTGCCAATACAGATTTGCAAATATACATTTATTTGCGTTCATCTAGATAACGATAAAGATAATTGCTTTCAACACATTTCATCGCCATCTTTATGTATCCGTATTCAATGTTAGACACACTCCCTGCAGTATCCAATGACTCAGATCCTCGGAGGTGGCCAAATTCGCCTCGAACACCAGACCCACGCCCATGGCATTGCGTCGCAGCGATGTTGTATACACAGGCGCCAGGAATGTATTCTGCAAAGGTTATAGCTAATGTTATTGAGGAATTTAAATGGGTATTTTTACTACTGCAACTAATGGAAAATTACGAATTTAGTTTGAATTGTAGAATGTGCGGTATTAGGCAGTCTAGGGATTTCAAGTCGAAAAGATACTATTTAGCTTGTTCAGTTTCCTGATCTAGCCCTACTCTACTCTGTTCGAAAAAGCTTGGACTGGCTGTTCCTATACTCCGTCGCGGCCCCTTTGGTGGTGGCAAAAGTTAAAGCACCCCGCATTTAAAATCAGAAACAATTAGCACAACAGCTGCAGCCCCATTAGCTGCGGAGGATGCGGAAGCTGTTGGTAATTTAGTACACAGCATTTAAACAAATATCAGCGAGGGCGAGCACACCAGCCACCCCCAATTCACGTTTTACGCTCCGCCAACCAAACGCATATGTGTATACAGAATACAGGATACAGGAGGACATTAGTACTTGTCTTTTGCAGACGGCGTCGAGCCCAGGCCGAGAGCCAGCAGCGGAATAAATACAAACCTGTAGCTTAAGCCGGTGCGCTTCAATAGGCACCACGGCCAGAATGGCCAGCTCTTCAACCAGAACTTTTGGATGCGAGCGCTTCAGCTGGCCAACCTGCATGTCAAAGCGTGCCCCCTCTATGTACAGGCCATGCACATAACAGCCCTGCAAAAAGTTCAACGATTAAAATGCAAACAGAATTCTTAATTACGAAATTAGTGCCAGGCGAGGGTGGGCAGCACTCCTCTGCTGGTCACATGGGGGGTCATAGTTTTGCATTTAGAGCCGGACGGGCCAGACGATTCGACTCGACTCACCGTCGCTGGGCGCTCTTCGACGTCATCAGGCTCCGAGTAGGTGGTCACATAGGTGAATAGCGTGGACCGATCCAGGGGCCAGGCGTTCTTGCGGCAGGCAATCTGCAAAGGGGTAGGGGTAGCGCTATGTTAAGCAGGCTGCCATTATGGAGAAACTCATATGAAGCTAACCTGAACCAGGGCCGTGAGGTAGCTCTGCGGTATATGTAATCCGGACAGCCACATGACCAGCGGCTCGCCCGATATTGACCAATACTTGTACTGCACGGCGCGTTTCTAAAATACCAGGTAAAAGCGAATCGCTGATTAGTAGGTCTGGATCTGACTGATTTGGTCCGTCAGGCTGATTAATGAGCCGCTACTGTAGCCGGGACTGCGACTCACCTTTAAGTGCTCCAGCCAGCTGGCCAGCTGCTTGCATGTGGCCGGCGCCAGTTTGGCCCACGAGGCTGGCAGCAGGCCATTGAATAACGAGTTGGCAATGTTGTCCAGGATATTGTCCATGCCGATTTCGCCGGCGATGGCCTGCGGAGAGCATGCAATTAAATTAAAAGGCACAACGACGGCACATATGCATGCATGAATGGGTGAGGGGCGCGAGTATTTGTGTGGGCGCGGCGGCATCTATGCCAAGACAATGGCAACGGCAACGGCAACGGCAGCGGCAGAGTTCATTTGCATTTGTAAATTTATTTTGGCAACAAAATGCAGAATCGTATTCAAATTTGCTTATGGGCAGGACGTGGGCGACCACGAGCATTGGCACGAGTCACCAGCCAAGTTGGCAAATGCATAAACAAAATGCAAAACAAAGCTGAAGGATTTATGTGAGCTGCCCATTGACAGGCATTGCTAGAGGCACAGCCACAGCAATCTCTTAGTTACCTTGCGCAGCAGCTCCAGCGTCTTCTTGATGCGCACCACCAGTATGTTAAATCGGTCCAGCTCCTGCAGCAGCACCACGCCTGTGGGTGACAGACTCATTTGGATTTGCTTGCGGATGCGCCAGGTCTCGAAGGCGGGCGGAAGTTTTTTCAGTATTCCCGCAGCCACTAGGTCGATGAAGTCGTCTCGACTGATGCCGCCCGAACCCTCACCTAAATGGCGAAATTGTGAAATAAGTGAGGATTGACAATGGCAGAGAAAGCCACCATTGTTATATATGCAACATTTTGTGGTCTACACTGTTTCTTTTTTCCTACCCTTTTACATTTAATTTTTATTTATTTCTTGTTTTTATCCTCGACTGTTCCGATTTTTAATTGTCAATTAGCAAATACTAAAGCTCATGAATATGCAAATTGTCGGCAGTATTTCAGAGAGCTACCCTATAAAAGCAGAGCATGTTCGAATAGAAGCAGGATTAAAGGGGAAACTATTTTTATAGAGTACAGCTCAATTTATATTATGTATGATTGATTTTTGTCATAACCCCAGAATTAGACTCACAACAATTTGCATGTAGATCAGTGCTGACGCATGTTCCCATAATGTAGGGATTGTTATACCCTAAGCCCATTGAAAATGTCAACTTTGTTTTTAGAATAAACAGAATAATCATCGAAATTAAAGCCAACTCCAAATGGCTGTTGCCTTTTTACAGATATGCGCACATTCTTTGGCACAATAAGATATATCAACAATATCGATCAAAGAAAACGTGTGGTCAAATTTTCTATTTCCTATAAATAGAATTGCAATTGCAATTGTTCTGTGTGAAAGTGAAAAATGTGTATAAACACTTTCCATAAAATAGGGCATTTTTAGGCTAACGCCTGAGCAAAGCAAACATGCACGTAGCGAGTTCTTTGTGCATAAATACGAATGAATTTTCAAATAAAATCAAAATATTTATGTAAAATATCAGACAATGTAATCGATGTTCTTTACCTTATTAACCCTTTACTATTATATTGGAAATGGGTAAAATATGTATTGCATGGTACGTGCAAATCAGGTTCAGGGTATCTCTTAGTCGGGCACTTCTAACTAGAGCACACTTGCCACTGTCTAACTTGGCAGGTTCTTTAATAAAGATCTATTAGAATTATTAATTATGGTATGCTGGGCCAGAGATATGAGGTACCAAAAAAGTGTCCTTTTTCTCCAATCTACAGAGTATTTCCTAGTCAATAACTTTCCTTTCGTACAAGAACATATATATATATAAATATATATATATCACGGCAATTTAAAAAAAAAAACTGTTCGATTGTGCTTGGTAAACGTTAGTCCTTTCCATTTATTTTTTAAATCAGCTGCATCGGTGCGCCTATTATTTCATTTAAATGTTACAGGCTGTCTGCAAGCGAGGGAGCGGGGGTCTGTTTACGTAAAATACTTTACCAGTTTTGACATTGTTTGGTGTCCACTTGCTAGCTGCGTTCGCGCAAAGGTGTTACAAAAAAGCAAAAATTTGGTTAAATTGAACATATACATATATGTATATATGGAGTTAAAACATTTTTGCACAATCATTGACATGGCATACGCATGTACGTATGTGTGTTTGTGCATATATTACAGCATTACAGCATCGAGTGCGAGTGCGGAAAATGGAAAAGTGCTCTCTGATGGCGGTTTTAACACGCTTAAGCTCGTAACGCAAAATTATCGACTTTCGGGTGACGTTTTCACCAATTTTTGTTGCTGCGAATGCGAGGTTTAAACTGAATTCGCAGCTTTTTTGCGGCGATTTGTGGCGATTTGCGGTGTGCGGGTGGCTATAAATGCGTGAACGAATGTATCTGTGTGTGTATTATGTGTGTGTTTGTGTGTGTGTGTGTGTTTGTGTCGAGTGTGTGCTTCTATTTTAATTTTTAATGCATGCCCTGTTATTGTATGCCGGCTATAATGGCGCATGCAATAAAGTTAATTGCAAAACCGCAACTAATTAATTAAATTAAATTAAAAATTTAACATGCCCAAAATGCAACAGAAATGAAAATCAACAAGATAAAATGTAATAAACGGCTGACAATTGGCACACGCTGCATGTATGTAAATTAAACCATTTACTTGTAAATGGCTTCCGTTTTTTAACCGAACTGTCAAACACTTTATCGGATGCTGATACATGTGTAAGCTCATGTCGCAATCAAGCAGCAGGTCAATTTTCAAAATGCGTATAAAAAACTAAAAAGAAATATAAATATATATATATTCCTGAAGCCAAACCCAACTAATGAGCTTTAGTATTATATAAAGTACTACACATATTTACTATATACGAATAGAAAAATATTATTAATTGCAAATAAAAATAAATCGAGTTAATTACGACATATAAGATCAATAAATGAGCAAAACATTCTTAAGGACTGGGAAATCTATCCGAATTAAAAAATGGCCTCAGCAAACGGATTTACGAATTTTTGATACTTTAGTAAATATATAAAAAAAATATTTTTAAAAACTGAAAAATCTAAAAGTGTACTTGGTAAGCATATTGAATAAAGTTTGGCAACAAATCAATGTACCCAGAATTTTTTGGTGTACACCATTGGCCAGTCACTCACCAGTTTGTGGCTGCAACTCAATCAGGCTGTTCCAGATATTGCGCGCGGCCATTGTGTAATAACCGATTTCCGCGTTTGGATGCAAACCAAATACATCCGGCTTATTGACCAGAGGCAGTTTGTCAATGTGAGCTGTGAGCAATGCATTTCGTTTGTTAACCGTGTTCCACTAACAGATGCTCTGACTACTTACCAATGAAGTCCTCCTTAAGAACGGTCTCCTCGTCGGGCAGGCAATAGTCCACGTGCTCATCCTCGTAGAAGTGGAACGATTGGAAGACATCGAACAGAAAATCACCCATATATTCATTCATATAGCAGTTGGTAATGCGTCGA